ATATCAACATCAAACAGTAGTCACGTTCTTTGGGCACTCTGTAAGCACGCTTCTCTACAATATACCGCCATCACAACATTAAAGGCACCGTCCAACCAAATTGTCGACTTTCATTGCCGATTCCAGACCTTCTGAGGGTCTTGATTCGGAAATGTAGTTGAGAATCCGCAAAATCCCCGAAAACCCCGTTTTGGAGAACGGTGCAATGCAAACAGCGGGGCTGCGGCGCTGATATTTGCCGGGCGCGCCATAAGCAAACCTGCAAAGTGGGCGGTGTGACCAGTTGGGCGGAGTGACCAGCGTCGGATTACGTCCCTTCCGGAGCGGATTTCTCGCTGCGGAAGCAGTCGTTTTTTGCGCAACTTGGGGGTTTGATTAGTTGGGGAGCCCACGCTAGTTTGCCATCATAATCTCTTCAACCCCGCTTTGGGTGGACGGTGCTTTTAATTGCTTTAATGGGCACAGCGAAATATACGCTGAGCCCAGTAGAATGCTGCCCTTAGATGAAATCCGTTCACTCTAGAGGAAGGTACCGCCGCACTACGGTGATGACAGCTCACCTAGCTCAGGCGCAATCACTCGACTTGAATGGCCGTCATTTGACTCGCTCAATGGTCGCCTCACTCGAGTTTAAACGAGATGATTTTGCAAAAATTAGGAGCAAAAGTAGCTGATCATTGCTATTATAAAACAGTTCCAATGGATAGATGTTTAAGGCGTCAGCAAAGCAAACGAAAGTTACAATTCGACATGTATGAACTCACACACAACATTTCCTCGCCTTTGCATCTGGGCGACTTTGCAACTTGATCAAAAATCTGCGAAAGAATCAAGACACATAGATAATTGAATATATGTCACAATCACGCAAGGAATCCATAACTCTCTTGTCATTGCTCATAGGATGCGCCAGCTTTTCAAATCTTACATGAAGCTAAATGTCTGTTTGCCTGTACGTATGGCTCGTGCTTCGAAGTGGTCTGTAAAGGTACTACAAACGTGGCTGCTTACCGCTCGCTTCAACACGTTAACCCAGCAAACAGGCGCTTATTCGAAGCTGAAATATTGAAACGATCGAAAGGCAGCCACATATTGTACCTATGGAGACCTTCGGTCACAAACGATATGTCTGCATTTTGTACGTATGTTCCGAATAAAAATCTTAATTTCTAAACTGGTGGACCAAATGCCGGATTTAGCGAGATATTCTACGTGGAGCGGCGCATGCGCATCGCTGAAGGTTTCGCGAGCGCATAGCGCTGGCATTTTGCCAAGCAAAGACTAAGGAGATTGAAGAGAAGCAGATATGGGTTCTCAGCACGATAGGACATACTGTAGCTGCGAAACGGCGCGAGCTGTTGCGAGGCGGACTCCCGCCAGCCCAATTTTCGCCTAAAGCGGGTCGAAACTCACTGTACATATAAGACCCCGTAAACCTATTGCGCACGCGTCGCTTCGAACACCAACGCGCGAAACGGCTGGAAACGTTTGGTCCCGAAACGTTACAGGCTTTTTGCGAGCGACAATGGGCGCGCACCCTTTCCACACATATTTTTTCAAACATTTGAAGGGAGCTTTCGTCAAGGTATACCTTGCATTGACGAGAACAACATAAAAGTTGAAGAAAGACTTCTTGTAATATGGTGAACGCCAACAATTCGCGACGACCGCTCGCTTACGCTGGTGTACAAGGCACGGCGCGGGCAATTAGGTTTTACGGCGCCTTACTTCGGAGCGAGGCGGGTCGCAGGCTACTTTCCGCTATCGATCGATATCATCGATTTCATCGATTTTTCCGCAAACAGCTACGGGGTTGGGTGTTGGCAGAGGAGGATAAGTAGCATGCTGGACAAAAATGTTACTGACAGGATGCGGAGCCGGGTTTGCCAGCTAGTATCGAGTAATCACGCAGCAGCCTCTAAGGCTGGGTTCATACTGACTCCCATGTTCTGGCACTGTTCCCGCACAGTTCTCGCACTGTGCTGGAACTGTGCGGGAACTGTGCTGGAACAGTTCCAGAACTGCACTGCATGCGCTGCAGCCGCCCCGCACCGTTCTGAACAATGGGAGTTGGAGAATTTTGACCGTTCTCAACGGTTTTTCTTCCAGATTTCGCCCGTTTTGGCCTTTTCCTCCACCCCGCTTCCCTTTTTGATCAGCAGAACTTCGAACGCGAAGCGGGGTTGAAGAATGAGCGCTTTTCTGCGCCGTGTATTCGGAAAGATGGGCTATCGTGCGATTGTTCATTCTGTCTTCGTGTTTTTTGCTCAAAACTACTTCATTTGTTCCAGGAAGCGGCTGCCCAGTTTCCATAGCCATCATCACGAATTAGTAGGAGAAATCCTGAAATTGCATGAGTTGGGACTTGTCTCCTGTTTTTGATGATTTTGGGCGTTCCCAGCCTTTTTCGTTCCATATCGCTGCTTCTCCGTTCTTTCATCTACCCCGCTTCTCCTAGTGATGAGAAAAGCTGTGAATTTGAAGCGGGGTTGAGGATTGAACGTTGTTCTGCTCCATGTATCCGGGAATATGGGCGTTCGTGCGCTCGTCCATTCTCTCATCACTACTTTTGTTCAGACCTACTTCGTGTACTAACAAGTCGCTGCGTAGTCTCGCACCTGTACTGAAATTGAAATAGACAAGTCTCTAGAACACATGAAGTAGTTTTGAGCTAAAAACAGGAAGACAGAAGAATGAACAATCGCACGATAGCCCATCTTTCCGGATACATGGCGCAGAAAAGCGCTCATTTTTCAACCCCGCTTCGAGTTCAAAGTTCTGCTGATCAAAAAGGGAAGCGGGGTGGAGGAATAAGGTCAAAACGAGCGAAATCTGAAAAAAAACTGTTGAGAACGGTCAAAATTCTCCAACTCCCGCCGTTCAGAACGGTGCAGCGAAGCAGCGCATGCAGCGCAGTTCTGGAACTGTTCCCGCACAGTTCCCGCACAGTTCCAGCACAGTGCGAGAACTGTGCGGGAACAGTGCCGGAACATGGGAATCAGTATGAACCCAGCCTAAGGCTGCGTTCATACTGATTCCCATGTTCTGGAACTGTTCCCGCACAGTTCTCGCACTGTGCTGAAACTGTGCGGGAACTGTGCGGGAACTGTGCGGGAACAGTTCCAGAACTGTGCTGCATGCGCTGCAGCCGCCCCGCACCGTTTTGAACGGCGGGAGTTGGAGAATTTTCCTTCTCAACGGTTTTTCTTCCAGATTTCGCTCATTTTGGCCTTAATCCTCCACCCCGCTTCCCTTTTTGATCAGCAGCACTGCGTACTCGAAGCGGGGTTGAAGAATGAGCGCTTTTCTGCGCCGTGTATTCGGAAAAATGGGCTATCGTGCAATTGTTCATTCTGTCTTCTTGTTTTTTGCTCAAAACTACTTCATTTGTTCCAGGAAGCGGCTGCCCAGTTTCCATAGCCATCTGCCACGAATTAGGGAGAAGGAGAAATCCTGAAATTGCATGAGTTGGGACTTGTCTCTTGTTTTTCATGATTTTGGGCGTTCTTAGCCTTGTTCGTTTTTCCATGTCGTTGCTTCTCGGTTCTTTCTTCTACCCCGCTTCTCCTAGTGATGAGAAAAGCTGTGAATTTGAAGCGGGGTTGAGGATTAAACGCTGTTCTGCTCCATGTATCCGGGAATATGGGCCTTCGTGCGCTCGTCCATTCTCTCATCGCTATTTTTGTTCAGACCTACTTCATGTGTTCTAGAGACTTGTCTATTTCAAGATGCGAGACTACGCAGCGACTTATTAGTACACAGAAATAGGTCTGAACAAAAATAGCGATGAGAGAATGGACGAGCGCACGAAGGCCCATATTCCCGGATACATGGAGCAGAACAGCGTTCAATCCTCAACCCCGCTTCAAATACACAGCTTTTCTCATCACTAGGAGAAGCGGGGTAGAAGAAAGAACGGAGAAGCAACGACATGGAAAAACGAACAAGGCTAAGAACGCCCAAAATCATGAAAAACAAGAGACAACTCCCAACTCATGCAATTTCAAGATTTCTCTTACTCCCTAATTCGTGGCAGATGGCTATGGAAACTGGGCAGCCGCTTCCTGGAACAAATGAAGTAGTTTCGAACAAAAAACAAGAAGACAGAATGAACAATCGCACGATAGCCCATCTTTCCGAACACACGGCGCAGAAAAGCGCTCATTCTTCAACCCCGCTTCGAGTACGCAGTGCTGCTGACCAAAAAGGGAAGCGGGGTGGAGGATTAAGGTCAAAATGAGCGAAATCTGGAAGAAAAACCGTTGAGAACGGTCAAAATACTCCAACTCCCGCCGTTCAAAACGGTGCGGGGCGGCTGCAGCGCATGCAGCACAGTTCTGGAACTGTTCCCGCACAGTTCCCGCACAGTTTCAGCACAGTGCGAGAACTGTGCGGGAACAGTTCCAGAACATGGGAAATAGTATGAACGCAGCCTAACAGAGTATTGGGAAGGTTATGGGAAAACCTAAAGTTTGGTATTTGCAGGGGCTTTGCCGCCTTGGACAACATACAGGCTTTCAAGCACATGCGATTGAAGGAGTACTTACGTGCAATGTTGTTCCCTCTTCACATTCTTGCCCAATTCACAAACTTCCTGAATTTATCTCACTTCTGATTGACTGGTCGGAGCACTACACGATGCAATCAATTTTTGACCTAACATTTCAACTTGTTGCTCAAAAGGAAGGGTATGTGCAGTCCAGCTTTTGAAAAGCTGTAAATTTTTGCTATTAGGAGATAGAGATTGGGTTGTTAAACAATGTAAAAGATACTTCTCCTGAACTGACAGAATGTCATGGTGACTAGTGTCTAATATGCGGCCTGTTTTATTTATTCGAAGTTAACATCTCGCATACGAGCACAACCTAACCAAAAGTAAAAGTTCAAAGTGCCAACTATCCCCTTGACAATTTCTTGTTTTTTATATTCTTATTTCAGCTTCGTCTTTCAAACTTGTCTGATTGCAGATTGTGGAGGTGGACCGATTTCCCTCACAGCAAATGGACAAGGTTCAGATTTTCGATGTTACTTTCGAAGTTGCTCCTCCTGCTAAAGGAAGATTTCAGGTAATAAACTCCACAGAAAATCATCACCTTAAGAACTTTTTTTAGACTTTCATTAGAATGGAAAATTTCACATTCGTGTCAACTGAAAACACCTTTGCACGACTAGATAGTTACGAAGGAATGGGCGATTGCATGACCAAGTCGGATCTTAGCCCCTATTGCACATGCAAAACTTAACGAACTTTTTGGAGCATTAAAACTAGCAAGATTTTTGGAAGGCAAATCATTTTAAAAACTGAAAATCTGCTCCTTTCCGGGAACCAATAATTCCCAACTTACCATTTTAAAAGCTCTATATTGTCGTCTTTGACAATTAATTATCGCAAGAACAAGTAAACAGTCACAGGATCAAATGTCCTATTTACTAGTTAGTTTCCCATTGGATAGCGATAATTCTGTAATCCGGATCTTTTTTTCAACCAAATAACAATGTTGTTTACGTTGTGTCTGGATTAAATAACTTCTGCCCTTGTCAGAACTGCCTATATGCCGCTTGTCAGAAATTACAACGCAAATGATTTTCTTAACTGTTTTTTTTCAAGGTTGTTGTCAGTAATGTAAACATGGCGCCATTTATTTACAAATTTGAGAGCTCAAAAAAAAGAATTATCAGGAATTTCGTGTTAAAGCATCATCGTCCAGCATTCGCATTAGGAATGCCAGAAATATGGAAAGTGTTGCAGTAAAGTGTTTTACCTGATATGCACACCATAAATGCGCTCTATTAACACATCTAATTTAGAATCTATCCAGTTCACGAGTTACTGACATTAATCAATAACGTTACCTGCTCTTGTAGACCTTGAATGAACAGCAAGTACTGCACATCTAAAACAGCTTAAAGAAAACATTCTATCAAGAACTGCTTATAGAAGCTCAAAAATGCGCCTAGTTACAAAGTGTGCGCATAGACATCAGCTCATCCGTACGGAACTAAGTGCTGCTTGTACAACTTCTCGTTTCTGTTCAATATGTTTACAGTGAAGAGTAGTAGAGACACATGCGGATGGTCAAGCCGAGTGAGATCTAGAACACTGAAGCTTTGGGATATGATGCTTTTGCGAACTGCGTTGTTTTCTCTCCAGCGGGAATGCTGGTGCATGCCGCACTTTATGTCAGTGGCTAGCCATCAAACCAGCAAAGTAACCAAAATTTCCTTTCGGGGGAGGGGAGACAAAAATTTTCTCTAAGGCAGCGGCTCGGCAGAATGACAATTTGGGATATTCATCGTTCTCGGTTTTAGGATGAGCCAAGTCCAAGGCTTTAGCTTCAAAAGATATCAATGAGCCGCTTTTCCAGGCGTGAAAAGTGCTATTTGGGCAGACGGCGTAAGCCTGCCCCCTAGAGCGCGATTGGCTCGTGGGGTACGGTGGGTACTGTGTCTCCACTCAAGAGCCGATCATGCTCTAGAGGGCAGGCATACGCCGTCCGCCCAAATAGCACTTTTCACGTCAGGAAAAACTGGTTACTGATATCTTTTAAAGCTGCAAAGCACAGTCTTGAACTCAGCTCATCCAGAGGAATCGAGAACTTTGAATATCCCAAAGTTGTCACTGCTGAGCCGCTGCATTCAAAATAAAGGAGCGGGCATCACATAATATACAGTTATTACTCAAAAAAGTATTACTATTCATCAGGCGGAATTTAAACAGCTGAGAGGATCATTTAGCGGTACACCCATATCTTCGACATTCAGCTACATAAATAAATGTAAATTTCATCCCCACCAAAATAAGTTCTGAGCGCTTTCAAAAATTTTTGCAAATTGGCTTCTACTGTGTATCTACGTGCTCAGACAATCGATCGAATCCCTCCGGCGGACAGTCTGCCAAAGTCGCGGCGGACCCAGTTGACCAATGAGAGCGTGGCGAGGGGCGGTCCCTTCTTGTAGGTCACGGTGACGTCACAAGCAGGCGAATGGGATCCTTCTCCGGATCTGCTTTGGAGGTACGCCATCTCTGCTCCGGAGGTACGCCAGATTTGAGAGAGCCGCGGCGGAGAGATTTGCCCGCCGCGAGTGCGCCAGATTTGGACGAGCCGCGGAGCAGAAAATCGGAGGGGTCCGGAGCACAAATGTGAGGGCCCCGGAGCAGAAAATGGGACACTTCCGGAGCAGAAAATGGTAGGGCTCCGGAGCACAAATGGGAGGGCCCCGGAGCACAAATGGGAGGGTTCCGGAGCACAAATGGGAGGGCTCCGGAGCAGGCTGCGTATCGATTTGGCGCGTAGCAAGCAAACGTCTAACTCCACAGTGATGAGTCCTCTGTTTACGCTCTTTCTTCATATTTTAGACGTTGTTTCTTTGATTTTGTTGTTTTTCCGCGTTTCTTTACCGTTTTTTTCTTTTCCGCGTTGCTCTTCGTCGCGTTGGCGTCTATGTTGTTGTAAGTTCCTCGTTTTCAGGTTTATGTTTCAAATTTTTGTGCGAATGCACTCAATCACTTTCAGTGTTTGGCTCTTTTCGACTTGCTGAAACATCGTTGACTTTTGATGGAGTGGTTTTTGTGATTAATTTGAGCTCGTTCCGAACATTATCTGTGGCTTTTCGGGCAGATGCATGCTAAGGTAAGCGTTAGGGTTTCTAGGCAACTTTATATCTGATATCTACAGGACATAACATTTGATTCAAAGTCCTATGAGCCACTTATCGAGGTGCATTTTCAGCGATTTCTTGTTCTCGCTCATCTCTTGTTTCTGGCATTATCTATATGGCTGATGTGGAATGTTGGTGCAGTCGAGGTTGCAGGCCTACCTGTGCCAGGCCTTGATGGACTTCTACCTTTTGATGTGCTTGCTCGCGAAGCTTTGCGTGGAGGAGACAACGATTCTCTGTGAGTAAACCTTTTTAATGTCTAATCATGTTTAATGTCTTATATCCCTCTCAGATTACTAGATCGTTTTGACGTCAATCAAGTTGATGCTTTGTCAGAATTTACTCTTTCATCTATGATTTGGAATTTTTTGATGTTATTCGTTCTTTTTTTTTCGCGGAAATAGGGGTGCAATTCGATTAAGATCTAACTCCAGAGGATTACAGTATAAGTCAGTCACCTTGGGGATGTGCGAAAGTTAGAAAGTTAGACGTACACTTCAAGTCAAAATCTCCTATTACAGACTTTTCTCCTGCAGTGCCACGCTGTGAGATTTTGGAAATGAGAATGAAGGAGTATTTCAGATAGGTCTCCAGTGGGAAGGGGTGGGTCGTAGGTAAGACTAGCTACATGAATTTCCGAACAGGTGCGGCTTCACTGATTGCCTTAATTAGAGGCACTGGTGTCGTAATGTCGTTCTGCTCGACCGCAATAACGAAAGTTTCAAAATTTCAAGAATTAGCAGTTTCAAGAATTTTCTTGCAATTCTCAAAGCGACGCATCTTCATGCAGAATATCGCAAGTAAATCTCACCTGCATAGACTTCACGCAACTCATCACACTTTAGTTATATACAGTCGAGTAGATTTCCAGCTTGATATAGTGTGCTTGCACAGAAGGTGAAATGCGGTAAAACTTGCGCGTGAAGAAGTACATGCCAGTACTGCCGGCATTTTGCGCCCGCAATTGGCCGGCGTCTTAGTCGAAACTATCTGTTTACGCGCAAATTTTACCGCATTTCACCTTCTGTTCAAGCACACTATATTGAGCGGGAAATTCACTCGACTGTAGATGGGTCTCAGCAAGGTTGGCACGCAAAATTTACAGCCGGTTGTATGGCTCTAGCCATTGGAAGAACTTTTCAAATGGTCTTATTATGTGTATAACTGCCGGCAAGCACTTACAATTTCAGATTTCTATCACATGCGGAAAGCCATATCTAGACACCTCTCGAACCATTGCATCTCTTCTCGGCTACATGTACTTTTTCAGGGCGTCAAACTTTATTTCCTTCTACTCATTTTCTCAAAATCGTCCGCATGACCGATTTTGATACTAGCTCAGTCTTCCTATTCGCGCTATTATTCAGCTGTTGCAAGCTTATTTCTTTTTCGTACTCTCTGACAGAACAAAAATTCTCAATTGTCTTTGACTTCTCATGTCAGATCATTTACTACAAAAAAATTGGGAAATTTAACTCTCTGATCAACTTTGCAAATAGGCATTTTCTTGTTAGCAGCTTTTCGGGCTGCCTTGAAGCTTCCTTTTACTACTAATTGTACGGATTCTTCTTCGGATCGCGGAATGTGCGCTGAGAGTACGATCTCGCAGGAAACGCGTAACTTTACCTTGAACGTAACAGACACGCAAGCCAATTCCGACCCGAATATAAGTCTTTTGTCATTGACTCCTACTTCTCCCACAATTCATGTATCCTATGACCCAAGCCTATTCTGAACTGTAAGATTTGATCGAATGTTGCAGCACTCCGATGGGTTTAGCGGTCATGCGAGCTATTGATGGTGTCTGGCAACGTGGTGGTGTTTCGCCACTCTTCTGCGTTAATCCTGCACTGTTTCGTCTGCCATTTCTATTCAGTGTCGTAAGTATCTGTACTATGTTCATGATAATCGCTTCAAGATGGTTTACAGCTCTCGCTAGGAGGAATGTTGTTTCTGTGATCGGTGCGCAGCGGTAGAATGCAATTGTACGAGCTTGAGCTTGCTCCAGCCAACTATAGTTTCATTCTCATCATCATAGGTCCTTTGATTTTGATATTCACATTCAAAAGAAAACTCAAATCCAATCTATACATTTTTTATTGAATACCTTTGCGTCTGCCGTATAGGACAGGTTTAGAAATCCTTCATAACTTGTGAATAGAATCAGTTTGAGTGTGTCACGTTACTGCATTTTCTTCCTTGTTAGCAATAAGCTGAAGATCACACGATGATTATTCAGTATCTCATTTCCTAAACGGTAGACGTTTGCTTTCGCTGTTTTCTCTAGCAGTACACTCAGGGCGAGAGGGGTGGCTTTCAGTAGCGTCACCATTGCTTTTCTTCACTGTTGTGATGTCTGTCTCATATTACATCGTGTACCTCATTTCTCAACCGAGACCTATTCTGTGCGAGTTTCCTCATTGTTTTGCGCTGCAATGCAGATATCAGCACTCAAAGGTTTAGTGACAAAAGGTTTTGCGCTGTGTTTTGCCAAGCAATCTAACTCACTACACTTACTTCGCTTATGTTTTCGCTTAGGGTCGGCCATAGGTTGCCGGCAACTGTTGTCTTTGTTGTCCGTTTTGAAGCTTCTAAGTTTTGTTTTGCAACAGGAGATTGTTTGCAGTTAATTTGAAATAAATGTCTTGTCTCTTCATTCTTTCTTCTATCTTCCATCCACAAACGCTAGGGATGAGAGGGAGGGGATAAAGAACGGGGTTGAGGGTCGCGCTGAAGTCCTACCCGGGGGGGGCGTATTCGGCTAATTTGGGTGGGGATTAGAGACAAAATTGGGGTTTAAAGCTTAATTAGGGCTAATTACAGTATGCCGCGGCAGACTTGCGGAGCACAAAATCGGGGGGCTCCGGCGCACGAGTGGCAGACCCACCGCTGGGAAAACCCCGCGGCCCTGCCATTTCTGCGCCGGAGGGGTCCGATCCGCTGTCTGAGTGCCTCTAAAGTGTGCTCTCCGCAATGAATGAACATTGCAATTAGCATACAGAATAAGCACTTCAAGCAGATTCCTACACAAAAGCTGTTATACCTTACCTTACCTATCTTTTCCCGACAGACTATAGTAGTGCAATCTCAGAAAGTTCGCCGCAGTGGAGTAGATCGCTATTTTCAGCTGTGCAAAAATTTCTCGAGCTAGACAAGGCTCCATATGCGAAGTTCATAGTCAAGTGAAGCAACCCGCAATTTTTCCCTATAGCTCATGATCAGCACGCAATCAAAAACGCGATCCGCTTTTTACAAGAAAAATACCGCTTTTCAAGTCGATATTTACATTGAGTTTTTGGAAATTTTTTTACAATATTCGTAAAATTCATAGTGCTAAACAACTTTCAAGTTTTCTTTCTTCCGCTACTTGCTAGTTATCCTAACAAAAAAAGTAGTAGAGATTTAAAGCAGCTACAGAACCTTATAGGAAACCCAATAATATGTATCGTTATAAACACAATTAGTGGTTATCCATCTTGACCCAATCATTGCTAGCTACAAACTGATTCTTGCCTTTATTGTTCGCACACAATAGACTTGCAATCAAAAGCAACTCATTCATAGTGCGAAGTAACTAGAAGGGGTAGGGGACGAATTCCGCCAGTTTGAACCGCCTCCGCGGATACTGGTCCTGTAACGACATGCAAGAATACTGAAAAATAATCAAACTGGAGAAGGTTCGTTCCCCTACCCATTTAGAAGTGCACCTTCGAGCTCAAGCAAAAAACCAATACCTTTCAACCTTTTATTTATGCAACGTGACTCTACACAAAGGAGCGAGTATGCAAATAACTAGATATCAGATGCAGGTCTGGTTTCGATCCATTTCTTGAGTTTGGGAATCGACCGAACCTTTTCCATATGCACCTTCACCTGAACTAGGAACCCACTTCAAGTGCATCTTCTGACATCATTAGTACCTCAGGAAATCTTGTAAGATATTCGGGAACCTTGGATTGTATGTCAGAGCAGTGCTCAGCAATGAGCAAATCCACCCATGTCACCGAATCTCCGACAAGGAATTCTAAAGTGTTCAAATAAAACATGGGGCAAAAGAGCCATAGAAGTAAGAACTAGTAGGCTTCACTCAATTTTTAGAGTTATGTGTTGTCTTCATGACAATATAATGTCACAACTTCCGCGGCGGCTTCGGTCGAGCCTTAAACCGCATTCGCGAACGTCTTTTTCCCTTGATTTTAGGCGGAGGCTGAAAAGTGAAGAACTTTGGAAAATGATTGTTTGCGAACGCGATACAAGGTCGAGCGAAACGGCTGCGAGGGTCCAAGCCGCTGCAGCTGTACATATTTTAAGATAGCCTATACCTTGAGACAAACAAGTGTCTCAGTTTTGCGTAGCATTTCCCTGCTCGCATTGTCAAGCATGGGAAGGCAGTGGTCAAAGAATCGCTGATTTACAAAACCGCCCACGGAACGTGCGAATTTCCACTCTATTTTGGAACTCCAAGGCATTTGAGTAAATTCGTGAAATTCGGCGGAATTGGCTTGAGGCGATTCTGTGGCCTATTCGTAAATGAATCTTGAGGTTGAAATCCACAAAGAGCACATCCCGTATTACAAGAACGACTTTACATGGTAAAACGTTGCCATATAAGCTGAAATTTCCACTGTTCGTGTGATTCCTTCGGGATCCCCACGATCAGGAACAGTGGAAATCTCAGTATGGCAATGTTTTACCATCAATTACGCCCAGGTACCAAGGTACGGAAACCGTTTTATCAAAGACAAAAAAGAGGAAAGGAAGTTTATAATAACGAAATATGACGCGTCACTTCTCACAAGGGAAGGATACTTGGTCGAAGTGGCGATTCCACATGAAATGTTTACTGTCTTAAGAGCATGGAAGGCTGATTCCAAATTTGTTTACAATATCTGCAAAGCGCATCTGGGAGGGGAGCCGTGGGAATTTTGAGACAAAAATTTAAACTCGGTCAAGATAAAAGCAGGTATTGAAGCCTTCACCGAGCTTGAAATGAGTAACAAGTATTAGGTTGGCTCGAAAGTTCTGGGACATTTTCGAACTAGATCTGCTATTTCTTCAAACCTAAAGCATACATCAGATTGAGAAATCATTCAATAGAGCAGAGCAAGCTCTACATGATGGTATGCGAAAGTTCGCACCAGCTTCAATCCACCATAAGTTTGCACCCAAAATCTGAGTCGTACTGAACTTCAAAAAATCGCGAAAAATTCATATCTTTGTTCATACAAATCCTACGGATCTCCAACTTGCTCATAAAAATTGGACACCACATCAGACACTCATGTGCACCGTTCCTATATTTTTTCCTCATTTGGAAATCGAGAAAACGAAAATTTTCGTTTTTCTATAATAACGAAGCTGTGCTGTTTCCACCCATGCAGTTGAATTGTACAAGTCCTTAGAAGTATAAGCGTAGATTTTCAGCTTTCCATAAGCCCTAGTTGTCAAAAAAATTGATTTTAGCATGGAACGCCCGAGTGAGGAGAGCTCAATTCGGTTATTTCCGGGGACTAGGGCCTGTACAAAGCTGAAAATTCACGATTATACTTCTAAGGCCTTGTACTATTCAATTACATGGGTGGAAAAACAGTACAGCTTTGTTTTTATATAGGCACGAAAATTTTCGTTTTCTCGATTATGAGGGAAAAAATACAGGAACGGTGCACATGAGTGTCCGATGTGGTGTGCAATTTTTGTGAGCAAGTTGCAGATCCGTAGGATTTGTTTGAACAAAGACATGAATTTTTCGTGATTTTTTGAACTTCAGTACTACTCAGATTTTGGGGTGCAAACTTACGGTGGGTCGAAAAGCTGTTGCGAACTTTGCATACCCTTTTGTAGAGCTTGCTTTGCTCTATCGAATGTACCTCAATCTGATGTATATGCATTAGGTTTCAAAAAATAGCAGATCTAGTTCGAAAATGTCCCAGAACTTTCGAGCCAACCTAATAGAATAGGTTTATTGAGCTGAAAGTATTGATTGCATAAATCGCCTTAGAGTCAATCATGACCACATTTAAGTTCACATGCTAACTTTTGAATAATTTTATAGACGCGCATTCAAATTTTTGCTTGAAAAAGACCCATAATTAACCTACCGGAAATGTTTTGCAGATATCGAAAGCAGATTTGGAATTAGCGTTCTATGCTCTACGAAATAGTGCCTTTTTATATGGAAACTCCACTTCGACCAAGTATCTTTCCCCTGTCAGATCTTCTCCCCTGCGGGGTGTACGTGCATACGGGCCTCAAAGGCACCGTCCACCCAAAATAGGTTGGCGAGATTATGATGGCATACTAGTGTGGGCCCCCATACTAGACAAACCTCCGCAAAAGACTGCTTCTGGAGCGAGAAATCCGCTCCGGAAATAGCAAAGTGGGCGGGGCGCCCCCGGTCGCCCCGCCCACTTGCATGCTTTATCTCGCCTGCGCTTGTTGCAGAGGGTTCTCGAAACAGGGATTTCTGGGGGTTTCGCGGATTTTCGACTCCATATTCGCAATCAGAGCTTACAGAAGGCCTGAAGGAGACAAAAACATTGAATTCGAGTTTTGGGTGGACGGTGCCTTCAAGGCAGATTAAAATCTCAAGGTTTTTGTATACGGCCGAAGTATGGAAGTGATCGTATTCAGGCGGTTAGTTCTGGCATTTAGCATAAGGGGTGTCAGCAGTTGTTGCAACCTTTGCCGTTTGTCAAAGCCCTATACGAAGCTCATCTTCGGATTGCTAAGGCGACGTCTCAGTGTACAATACCGCTCACATTTTTTGAAAGATAGACGCGAATGTATGGACATGTATGGACATGTCGCTACATGTATGGACATTTAGCGACATGTCCACACATTCGCATCTATTTTTCAAAAAATGTGAGCGGTATTGTAGGTGCCTGTGCAAGTGATTTGTGTGCTGTAAATGTACGCCAAATCCTCAATCCTTGTGGTTCACAATCGTTTTTTTCTCACAATACCGCACGTGCCCATCGCCTGGACGGACATTTCTTTCTTTGGATCATGTTACTTGATGATTGATTAGCATCGCCAAGCCCCACCAGATTTGCTCTTTTTGAGGAACTTGGTGATAAAGCCGAGAAACTTGTCACGAGCTGGCAGCATTACTTCCTTCTTGAGCGTTGCCTGAATAATTTTAGATCAAGTATTTTCTGGCATTCTACGTTTAAAACCCCAAAAGCTTACGAGGTCTCCTTTCTTGTCAAAGCCATACGCTGTGTAGACGAAAGGCTTGATTTCCACACGATAATCACTATACTGATCGGCTAATGAATCCACAAGAGCTTCTTCAAACGGAGTCTTTCCAGCAAATCCTACAAAAGTGGAGATGCTTGAAAGAAGCATGATGCAGTGTTTTTGAAATGAAAGCACCATTTTGAAGCTTACCGAATTTTCTTGCTAGATAGCGATTGATAGCGTTTGACTGAGCCAATTCTTTCCCGTCTTCGTTGAGCAAAGGTAACTGTCCAAATGGGAGCTCTATGTAAAATATTAGTTGACTGCTTACAATGTAAGAAAACCTAGGAAAATCTGACAAGGCTTAAGCGCTGGAAATGTCTCTTGCGTAACGCGAATGTCGTCGTATTTCTGGTCAGCCAAAGCGAACTGCTGAATTAGACTACTGGTTTAATACAACTCAATAGTTTGTACGTAACTCAGGAACAATATTTTGCGAAACCGTTTACCTGGCGTGCGCATTCGCCCAAGCCACGCCCGTTGAAATAGGTAAGCTTGTAATGGACCATGGTTGCTGAAAAACAACTCAGATGTCAATTGATGTGCGAAGACGATAAAAGAGGCATATCGCACTGAAGATGCTTGGAAAACTCGACATCTAACTTCGTGAACAATCTCCCTAGCAGTCATATTATCTATCCATATTCATACTCCCCAAACTTTTCGCAAATATTGAATTCGTATCACCTCCCGGTGTACATTTGAGTTATTTTTCAATTAAACTAAGCGTAGCCATCGCCATACACTCATTTCTCATAAATCCGTTTATATTTGTATAGTCCATTCAACCGATTACCTAACCTCTTTTCATCCCTTTAATCTTGCTATCGTCGACTCTAAAAATCGTGACGACGGTCTGCAGTGCGGCCAGTGCGCGCCGCACGGCACTGCCGCCTAGTGATTCGCAAAAATTACGTGGAGAAGGTGAGTTCTTGTGGTTTTTCTTTTTCTTTTTGCATCTTTTTTGCTTGCAGGAACTTTCATGGCTACTGCAGGGAGCCTACACTGCTGAGAAGCAAGATTGCCTTACATTAAACAGCAGTGCCGTGCGGCGCGCACTGGCCGCACTGCAGACCGTCGTCACGATTTTTAGAGTCGACGGTACATACTTGCAGGTATTGTTCAAAAGTAAGCACTAGAGGGATTTGCCTTTTTAAGGTCAACGAATTATAAGTTAATGTCTTCAAGTATGTTTTCTTTTCTTCTCCAAGCACTAATCAAGCGACTTATTGCTTTTTGTTCAAGATTTAGACTCCAGTGCTCTGAGCGAGGCCATCATTAGTAATTTAATTTTTCATTACCAATTTTTCGTTCGAAGTCGAATTTCAGGACAAGCAAATGCTTAACTTTTGGAATCTGTCCGGCAGCGACTTACAGGGCTTATCAATTGCAGTGTCGGGTGCACCACGCCTCCACTCCCGCGCGGGACTTTGCATCTCTTCTGCAAACATGCTCTCCAATCATGTCCAAACGAATGAGGCTCCGCCTTTCCCACGCTCGCCCTAGGAAAGTGATCAAAGAGCATGTTCTCGGAAGGAATGCTGAGTCCAGGCGAAGCGGCACGTGAAATGGATGCTGATGCACCCGACACTGTAGTTGATAAGCCCTGCACCTAAGTTGCATCCGAAAAGACGAGGTATTCATATGATGGTCCATGGTTTTGCTCGCTAAGTATCTAGTTCTTTCTTTTGCTTTTACAGTTCATTAACCACAAACATTTCCGTCCTTTTGCAGAAATAATGAAACGTTTTTTCGGTTCATGTTAAGGAAGCAGAAGCTCTTCCCTACATTGGCCTGTGTTCATAAAAACAGTGGCAACTCCAATGCCAAACACTTCACTCAGCTTTCGCACAACACCACCTTTTCCCATCCCTGTCCCATTTCTATTCCCTACCTCCTTCCCCTACTTTCGTAATCAGAAAGCTCACGAGAATTCTTATCCCAGCATTCTATAAGAAAGTTGAAAAATCATCAAATCGATAAGGTCAGTTGAGAATTCTGAAGATATATATGTGTTCAAAATAAACATGCTAAGTCCTTTGCCTACTTAGCTCAAAGTTTGCTAAGCGATTAATGAGACGATATTGATAGACGACGAAAGTAACTTGTGACACGCAATCCCGAAGTATAATGTGTGTGCAAAGTTCAATCTGAGTAGCTTCAAAAATGAAATTAAGCGTGTGGAATATACATACGACAAACAGACAGGCAGAACAGGTTTCAACTCAGTTTAAGCCAAGGAATTAGGCTGACGCACGTTCGCCACACAGCAACTAGCGCCGCATCGCAACGGCAGCATAGGTCATTCTAAAAATTGTGAGACGGATTTGACTGCGATCATTGTGCACACAGGAGTATAAAACGTCCATGTAAGAGTTATCACCTGAATGCTGCTTAGCTCAGTCATGTTCAGTGTTTGAATATTATACTATCACAAATAAGAAGAAGAGTCATTCGAGTAGAGACAAAAACCAAGAAAATGCGGTTGATGCAAGCGCGTGCGTGTCGCGCGCGATCGCGCCATCATCACAACTTTTTGCACGCCTTATATATCCTATCCTGCCAAGAGCTCATATCTGCGTATCCTTCCTACCCTCTGTCTTTGCGTGACAAAATACCAGCGCTGTAAGCGTAAAGCATGAAGCCTTCAGTGACGCAGACGCGCCGCTTTACATTGAATGCTGCCTCCTACTCCGAATTGGAATAGGTCATATATTAAGCTGGCGGGTGATTTCTGTTACACTTTTATTTTTATTTCTTAAAAATATAAGAAACTTTCAAAAATTCTTATGTTCGAGGAGTATTGACGGGGTGCAGAGATATATCTGCCGGTACTGTCAGATTCTCGATCCGTGAGCAAAACACATCCACTTTACCGGTGCGAGTAAGTTCTATGGACATTTCTAGCGGACTGGCACTGTTCCAGGTGATCGGGGAGAGACCGGGAGATGTGGTATTCGGGCAGGGTATGGTCCATGTTTTTTAGTGATTTTTAGAAATGTAGGAGGATGGCACAATTATGTCCTCGCACGATCATCCACCTACATGTTGCGCTATGTCAGTGCACATTTGCATCTTGACATGAAGAACAATTTTTGAAAGTTTACAAAAACTATTTTCAATCTCTCCGTATGAAATCCTGCACCATGCACACAAAAAGAAAAATTTTCAACGTATTTTTGAATTTTTGACTTGTTTTTTACCCTTTTTTGGCGTGCTAGCGGCAGCAAAATGCTACCATAAAAGACGATGCAAAGATATGTTCCAAAAAAATATGGGATAAAAAACACAATTAAACGCAGGGAAAAATTCAAAGACAAAATGACAGTTTCGAGTGTGCCTATAATGTTGTAGTAAACTTGCTAGCTAAATGTGCAATTGCGGCATCAGTCATACTGTTGTGTACGCCCTGACGTGTTCTACATAATGGAGCAACTTTGAAGATTTTAGAGGACTTCTGAAATTTTTCAGAGTTTCACGAAAAAAGTGTAGCAGATTACATCTGCCAACCTAATATGAAATTTCAGTATTTAGCTGGTGACAAGGTTGCTTGTTCTGAGTTCTGTTTGCTCACGAAACTTTTTGCACACATTTGCTTGTACCTGATTAGATTAGTCAAATTAATTGATAACTTTCGTTTACCAATTGCCGCGCTATCTATCAAAATATGTGCCAGTGCAGCAAAGAAAAAAAGCTCCTCAGGAAACGTGAGATAAGGGCTTTTTCGATGGCCTCTAATTTCTCTTACGGGATCATTGAGCAAATAAAGTAGTACTTCAGGTTACTGATGGAGTTTTGCAGCAAGTGTACAGTGTGTGTTGCTATCTTCGATTGAATTTATTTTTGTATGAGACATGATTGTCTCTATCGTGCAGAGGATTGAGAACGATTCATCGAAAGCACTTGTCACTGCAGAAAATGTTCTTTGCTCGCAACAAAATCATCAGGAAAGCATCAACGCTGCCAAACGATCTTTGCTTTTTCCAAAACAAAATGTACTATTCCTCTTTCATTTGGCTCTCGTATAGGGCAGCAGCCAATTTTCTTCAAATGAATGGGAAAGCCGACAGCGAGAATACCTAAGTTTTTGACTTGTTCTCGTATACCTGATAATCAGCTAAGAAATGAGATTAAGTCAAAAAACGAGCATTACCCGCGTAATAATCAACATAACGTCTTAATTTTGGATGTTAAAGTCCACTTTCAAAACAAACGTAAGCTTCCACTTGTAAAACTTTTGGGCACACAAGCATTTCACTCAAAAAGTGTACTTTCGTATCCTCTTCTTTGAACTATAGAAAGGTAAGGTTGTCGCAGATTGAAAAGCACTGAGAAATCTGGCAAATAGGATGGCAGGACTAATTGGGACTATGAACCTGGATGCCTTCCAAAGACACAATGTGTTCCATAACGCAACCTAAAAACCCCAGTAGTACGGTTTTGACTGGCTTGTTTCTAGTATTTCACTGTACTAATCGTCGTTGAAAATTCTGTGGTGCAGAATACACCAATAGAGAATTTTTGATTTTAACCGTAAAATTGGGAATACCAAACATTTTGCATATAAAGATCATCCGCTGAGAGAAATGCTACTTCGGTGTTTCGGAAGAAATACTACACGGCAAGAAAGCCTTCAGCGTTTATGCGAGCAAGAATGAAAGCCTGTACTCTACTTAACCCACTGAGGCTGCTGCAGGACGAAGGTGCAATATATGGGCGCGAACGCGGTTTTATTAGTGGCAGAGCGCATGAGGCGCAGGATTTACAGCGGTGAAGATACGCGCGCGCAGCGTTCTCGCCCTCTCAACTACTACTGCTTGTGCGTCTTCTTCATGCAGCAGCCTTCATGCGCATTTTATTCTTGGAGAGAACTGGTACGATATGTAGTGATTGAGTCAAATAGTGAGAAACTGATTTTTTGCAATATCTATTGCTATTTATACACACTAATGCATCGGTTCCGAATTGTCATCATGCTCCGCCTCTATTTCTGAGCAAACGTGCTATCCGCACATTCTTGCTGAATTCCGATTATTTATCGAATCATGCGTGACTGATGATATCGCCAGTTGTGCACCGTTTCTGAACGTTTGATTATTTTTGAATGTCACCACTTCGAAGAATAAGCAGTTGCAGGACTCTGCACAAAGTGACTCCAGTAATTTTCTAAAATGAAGTCACCGTCGATTTCGCAACAGGCATACGAAATCCCTCATGACGCGCTCATGATTGAAACAGTATAAATAACAAAGAAGAATACAAAGTACAAAAATAAACCAAATAGACGATAACAAAAATACAGGTGTTCGTATGCTCTCCGTCTTGACGACAAATTGTGTCCGGCCCGCAGCGCCTTGCGCTCGATAGATTGACGCCGCAATCCAAAATTTTCATAGGGCTGTAACTAAGCGGATGGGAGGAGGTTCAGAGAGGTTCAAAATTAATTTGTAAAGTGTTGGACATAGATTGAAGCCATGAAAAAGTGTTTGTGAGAAAAAATGTGGAGAGAAATTTATGACCTTGTTTTTCAGGTGGCTTAAAAGCTGCATAAATCCGAACATAATTCAAGTGTTCGGGCGCTCCTTCTCTACTCTTTCCTTTTGGGTAGAAGTCGCTAAGTCTGGGATTAAAGAAGTCTGTTTTGCTTTTCAATCGCCTTCTCCCCTCGGCTTCGTTTGTTACAAGCAAAATATTGAAATTGCTGTTCTGTGCAAGAGTTCTCCTCTTGTACATATTTGTGCTTCATTTGGACATTGTATCGAATCGTATTACGCCTATTTTTGACGTTGTGTGCTGAAAATTTCGAAGTGCTGGCACACATTCTGTATTTGAGTTCCCTGTTGTTGTCGTTTGACATCCTCCTTGATGTCCAGTAACCATTCCCACAATTTGTGTACCATTCTTTCCTCATCATTCATTTCAGAAGTAGTTGAAGCCTCATCTGCTTTCGGCATAGCTGCATTCGATATTGCAGAATTTCGTGAGAGCGTCATTACTGGTACGGATGCTGCTGGAAAAGAAGGGAGTTGTGTTCGGGTGCATTATAACAGGTCCTAAAGTGCGGTTGAGAAGGGAAGCTTGTCTGGCAGATGTGCGTTTATGCTCGCATCCAGAGTTGATTTAGTGTCGCTTCTTCTGGTCTCTGGTGTTAACCAAGCTGTTGTATTCTTCGCGTCATTTCACTCGCTCATCTTTTTCAGCATTTTGTTGCTTGAAGGACTGTTATAAGTCCGTCGTCCGTCACTGTGCTACTCTTGGGTCTTTCGCACTGAGTAGATTTTTCCGACCGTTGCTTTAAAAGGTAACAGTATTTGTCTGTTGATGTAGCCTTTGTTAGTTCCGAGTAATTTCGTGTGCTTCAGCCCGGATTTTTGTGTTTTTGGTTTTCCCTTTTCATCACCTCTTGGACAAAGATAGTGGTGATGTTTCTGACCCAAGCATGCTATGCAACCTTTTCATGAAGTGCCCTTCGCGCTGTTCAAGCATCTGTTAAACTCTTGAAAAGACCTGCAACTTCGTGCTATCGAACTGAGCATGTCACAAGTGGCCGTTCCGTGGGTTGTATCGTTACACAACAAACATGATGAGGGAGTCTGCATCTCTCACAATGAAAGGATACTTGGTCGAAGTGGCGTTTCTATAGGAAATGTATACCGTAACATAAAGCTTGGAACGCTGATTACGAATCTGCTTTCGATATGTGCAAAGCGCTTCCGGGATGGGAGTTACGGAATTTTTTTTTTGACGCAAAAATTTCAAGGCGCAGCTACAATGAACTTTTTTAGAACTGTGGTCTATGAGCTTGGAGAGTATGGTTACTGCTAAGACGCTTCGTGCAGTTATTACCTTCATTCTAATAAACTTGAGTTAGTCGTTACTCCATAAGCGCCGGAAAGACCTCAACACTCGTTTTTACCTCAACCAAAGTCTTGAATTTCTGCCTTGATAAAACTGTCATAACTCCCATTCTAGAAGCGTTCGCAAGTACCAAAAGCAGATTCGGAATCAACATTCCATTCTATAAGATAGTATACATTTTCTATGAAAACGCCACTTCGACCAAGTGTCCTCCCTTGTCAGAGCCATCATTGCAGTCGTTTTATCCATACTCCTAAGCCTTCTTCTTAAAGGAATGTTGCCTCCGCCGTCGAGGATGCGTGCTTCGGAAACTGCGAAAAAACGTTTCATGAGGGAAGTACTTTCAATGGCCGTGGCTGTTTGATATAAGATGCATAACATCTGAAGCAGCTTCGAACGCTGATTTCAAATCTGCTTTCCGTTTCTGCGGAACGTTCTTCTGAAGAAAGTTATGGAAGCCGGAACATTCTATTTTGGGGGCGCTCCTTAAGTTTGAGGGCGCTGCTATGTGCGTTGGTGGTGCAGTAGTGTAATGATTACTTGCTGACATTGAATGCGAGAGGTTGATGGTTCAAATCTGGAGAAGAGCGAGCCATTTTGCATTTTGAATGTGAGTTTAAGCACTCTAAATCGTCTGCAGACACTTACTGTAACGCCCTTAACACAAACAGGAGAGAGCATCTTTTCGACTAATGACAGTGTGCACTTTTTGAGCTTTATGCGGTGACAAACGTGCTAGGCCATGTTTGGTCCTGTTTTACTAGTGAGGAAGTCAAATAGAATTTCAGACTCTCATTACAAGCAGTTTTGCCAGAAAATTCTCTTTCTAGGTCACTTGTGCCAAAGGCATTACAGTAAGTGTCTGCAGGCGATTTAGAGTGCTTTCAAACTCACATATAATAAGCAAAATAGTTCGCTCTCCACCGGATTCGGACCATCAACTTCTCCCCTTCAATGTCAGCAGCTAACCACTACATTACTGCACCACCAATGCACATAGCAGCGCCCTCAAACTTAAAGAGCGCCCCCAAAATAGAATGTTCAGGCTTCCATAACTCTCTTCAGAAGAGCGTTCCGCAGAAACGGAAAGCAGATTTAAAATCAGCGTTCGAAGCTGCTTCAGATGATATGCATCTCATATCAAAAGGCCACTGCCATTGATAGTACTTTCCTTGTCAGCATTGCAGAGTCATTTTGCTGCATTCCGTAACTCTCATGCAGGTTATTGCTCAACTGCATCGCGATCTGCAATTAACATCACGGTTCGGGGGAACATTTTCAATAGTAAAATTCGCCTGGTCGTAAGAAAGAAGACTGATATAGCGGCCAGGTCAGCATTCGCTGGGAAACCATAAAGTGAACGGAATTCAGAAGACTTCCGGAGTGGATTTTGGTTTTTCTAGACATGCTTTTTCAATTCAGTCCAATGATAGATCAATGGGGGGGGTCTGCCATTCCAGTGCTACAAAATCCGATACCCATCACTTTGCCGTGACGCTTCCTTTAACCGAAAACTTACAGGGTACTCCTTTAATTACCATTTAGTCATTAACCTAAATAGGCGGACTATCAAACTAGTTCATTTCCAAGCCGCCTAACTCTTAACGTCTGCGTTCTGCGTTGATTGGATTTAAGTTTAGTTTGATATTTTCCAGTTTTTTATTTTCATTCTTGAGTTCAGTTCAGTTTAGTTCATCAATCACATGCCGTAACCTCACAGAAAATTTATAGATTTATTGGTGGGTGTGCAAAACAAAATTAACAGCTAACGATGACAAAGCCTAAAGTGAAATGGGAAAACGAAGATGCAAAAAAGTATCAATCAAAAGGGAGTGTCTGGGCGAGTTTCAATCCACTTCTTCAGTTTCGGATTTGATCGCACAAGTTCCATGTGAGCCTTGACCTAAAAACAGTCAACAATTAAATATCTGTTTTATGACGAAGGCGGTTGCCTAAATAGGTTGAAAGCATGCAAGGCTGACGCGCGCGCGGCGCGTTGGCATTTGTCAACCATGGGGCGCGCACGCTCTGCAAGCGGTCATCCGCGCGCGCGCCCATGGTTGATAATTGCCCGCGGGCTATTTGCCTTTGTCATGGAGCAGATGTTAGCAAGCTGGATACACCTGGCTAAAAAGGTGGATAAACTTCTCTACGCTTGACCATATCTAGGGCTTAGCAGCAGCACTATCCTACCTCTGGAAATCCGTCCAGAAATTCTGGGATACTTGCGCTCATATCTGCCATATGTTCCGAAATAAGCAGATCCACCCACGTCAGATGGTCGCCGACAAGGTACCCTGAAAAGAACTGACAACTATATGAGTGTGTAAGGTTGGAAAGAGTTTGACAAATTAGAATTGGTACTCAAAGCTTTTGTAAGGGGCGTTTCGTAAATTTCACGCGCCTAGAAGGTAGTCAAATATAACGCAAATTTTTATCGAACACAATATCCGTGTAGTATAGCTAAGATGTTGGAACTTGTGAAAATCAGATTTATGCATGATGTTTACCCCTTAAAGCAAGATTACCGCAAGATTCCCGTAATCCTACCATACGATTTAGAGATCAAGCAAAGTTACGCACCAGACTTTGTCTTGTTGTTCTTGAGGAATTTGGTCAAAAAGCCAAGGAACTTGTCACGCCCAGGCATCATGACTTCCTTCTTCAATTGCTCCTAAAAAATTGGTTGAAATTTTGCAGTATTCCTCCTCCTAGGCAGCGTACGAGATCTCCAGCCTTCATAAATCCTTGTGCGGTGTGCATGTATGGCTTAATTTCCACGCGATAGTCATTGTACTGGTCACCAAGCGAGTCCACCAACGCTTCTTCGAAAGCGTTACTACCGGATAGACCTGAATGTGATACACATCTACTTGATGTGGGATGAAATCCAAAAAAATCGATATTTATCTCGCCTCACGCTTTTTCTTTGGTTTTAAGATATTAAATTATGGTTAGATAATCAAACAATCAAAAGCCGTTCCCAAACGAAGGCAGATGGTTTGTAGTAGCGAAGCGGGCGAGAGCGTGGCGATTGAGCTCATCGATGATATGCACACAGTAGAAGCCCATGACGGCACGTATGCCGCGCTTGCGCGCACTCACCTCCGGCACCTGCCTCGTCCGAGACTAGCCTTTACCTTTTCATGCATTGATATCGATCTCATTGAGTTCTCGTCACTTACCCCACTGCCTGGCGAGATAGCGACAGATTGCTTTGGACTGTGCGAGTTGCTTACCGTCCACTTCCAGTACGGGTACTTGCCCAAATGGCAGATCTGAAGTTAGTTTGCTTAAAGATCTTCACATTAGCTGGTACTACTTTGCAGTGAAATCCAAAGAAAGCATTTACTTTTGGAAATCTGATGGAAGTCTCAGTTTGCTGGTCGAAGTAATCGTTAGTTTCTGTGCTTGCATCTTCCATCTTATCTATGGCCCAATACAATTCAAAAATATCACAAATATTTTAGATTCTTGATAATTTTTAGTCAAAGAAACGAAGCGTCTAAGTAAGACTTTTAGATACAAGGTGTTACAGTTTGATCAGATGTTTAAGGCAGTGTCCGGCCAAATATGAAAACGACAAAAGAACGACCCCCCCCCCCCCCCCTCCCTGACCAAGCTTGCGCCCAAATGGCACTGCAACACTTCGCTTCTGAAGCGAGAAAAGCGCTTCAGAAGCGACGAATCGAAAAGCCTTGGCGACCGGAACGCTGGTAAGGGAACGAACCCACCAGTTTGAACCGCCTCCGCGGACTACTGGTCCTGTAAACGACATGCAACAATATAGCAAAATGACCAATTGCCATCGAAGGCGACTCAAACTGGCGGAGTTCATTCCTCTACCCGGAACACCCTTCAATCGGTAGCCAGATTGGGTATGCCGCACACAGTCAGGACGAAGGGTCCCACAACTCCGCATCTTAACCTTGGCGGCAGGCGTCAAAATTAGAATTAAGAACTTTTGAAATTGTTCGTTTTGAAAATTTTCGTGCTCTCCAAGCTGCATTTTTAGAATCAGCTGGAAAAATAGGCGCAGGTAAGCAAAAAAACGTTTGATTTGGAATTTTGCTTAGACGCTGCTTCAAAATGAGTATTCTGCTGATCTTAAAATCCAGAAAGATTTCGAGCGTTAATTTTGTCTCAGGCAGATTTAATGCGCAAGAAATTGAATAACAAGTACCTCCTTCTAATATGTTATTATAACAAATTTTAAATATCACGAGTTTGTAGAAATAATCCTCCCCTCCAGCTGGATAGCACGATGATGTTCTACCCATTTCCTAGGTAAATTTCAAGTCTAAGTAAAAGTCAAAGCCGTGATTTCGTCATCATTATGACAGAATTTTTTCCACGCAAGTGTTGTCAGTGCCGCAGAGGCACTAGGCTGGCCATCTGTTCAATTGAAACTGTAGCAACCCATTATTACGAGTAAAATATGTGTAAAAGCAAACTTTAAGAGTTGGCATGCTAAGGTGCACATACAATACAGCTCGTATTTTTTAAAAAAACGACGCATAGTCGCCTGATTTATGTGACATCACCGTAGCGTGGCCATATCTGAGTAGACGAATTCCGTGGCCATATCTGAGTAGACGTGCAATGAAGAAGCGCACTGAGTAACCTACCGTAAGCAAAAATCAAGAATGCTTCTTGGGATAGAAGCCTCCTACTGTGTCCAAGCGGCACTTCTATTTATAAGAAGTTGCGCCGCGCCGAGCTGTTGAAGGGTGCTCTTGGGTTGAGATCGTCCACTCTGAAGCGAGATATGGCCGCGCTACGGTGATGCCGCATGAATCGGGCGACTGCGCGTAGTTTTCAAAAAAATACGAGCAGTATTGTAGGTATTGAAGGCTTATCACGGCCTCAGTAATCGTGAACATGATTCTTTGATTCTTTTTCTACATTTGTAGAACGACCTAACGTGTGTTTGTATGCGATTTTGATTCATGACAAGCTCTTGCATTAACTCATCGAAATTCGTTTGGCCTAGAAAAGTCATTTCTGATTTTGGCTCAAAGTTCCTCCTCCTACCCTTGGCAAAAAAGCGTTTAAACTTGCGACCGTGCAATCTAAATTGTTAATAGCACTAGAAAAACTCAGTGGACTACTATAACTATTGTTATAGATGCATGTACACTTACTAGGCTTCATTGGCGCAAACTGTTCCTGAGTGAGGCGAATGTCTTCGTATTTTTACCAGCAACAGCGAAAATCTGAATCGACATATGCGATTTTTTGTTGAAAAGGATGTAACCATTAGATGCAAATGAAAAGATATGTGCAAGATATATTCTTACCTGTCGTGGACATTCGCCATTTCCACGCCCATTGAAGTAATAAAGCTTGTATTGCACCATGTCTGTTCAGTAACTAAGAAAAATGAATTATCTCAATCATTGCTGTGGAGAAGAACTGCTGATAGGAGGTAATCAGGAACTGATAAAATATCTGTTCTTTGTATCAAGAACAAAAAATATAGCAAGAAGCTTTGCAAAGATTTTTTGACGCTTTTTCGCTCAATCAATTCGGAACACTCAGAACCACTGATTTTGCTAAAATTTTGCTCAAAGGGGTTACTTGGCATGCTGTTCACCAACATGTTGTTTACGCGCGGTAGGCTTTCATGAATACGATGTTTACTATAGTTGGATCATTCCAAATTTAGATTTATTTGGGGGGAGGGGGAAGGGTCAGCACGTGATTACGATTATGATGTCGATCCTGCGTAGGATCCTTCCCACTTTACCTACCAAGAAGATCTCTTCAGGGGGCTATTTGTGATAAAATAGCAACTTGAAACCCTCCTCCCCCTCCCCTCTTCCCACCGAACAAAATCTTGACGATTTTGAGGTCTTGACCAATCTACCGTACACCCACCGTAGCCTCAAAATATGGCGCCATCGTGCGAATTCAAAAATGGCATCAGCGAATGAATGGTTCGCGAAGGGAGAAGTTAGAGCGAGATCCGTGATCAGGGCACAGGCGATAAGGTGAGAATGACCCCTCCTGGGTGAAGGGGGTCACAGCGGTCACAGCCCCTCCGGGTGAAGGGTGTTTCAGTTGATTAAGAAATCATAAAATGTCGACCGGGGGAGGGGAGGGGGGAGGGAGTCATGGTGTTCTTTTATCATTTTTCCTATTCAAACTTTATAATTTTCAATTCCTTGCCATCACTGATTGCCTTTTTTCTGATGAGCCGATGTGCTGCTGGATTAGCACACAATCAATTAAGTTCTGACCAGCACCTTATATTTTACATTTTTCCTTTTTCCTTTTTTCATCACCTGCTCGTTTTTAAAATTACCATAGAAGATGTGCATGCGAGAAGATTTGTTTTGGAAAAAGTTAGACAATTTTTAAGTATTTACGAATCTTTCAAAAGAAGAAATTCGTAGTTTCTGTAGATGAACAGCAGCGTCAGCAAGGGAAATGCATTTAAAACCATCCTGTATTCCGCTTTTAGAGCATATATAGTTTGCTTGGAATCTGTTGAAAAAGTGCCTGGTGAAGAGTGTGGGTAGTGAGTTCTGGATATTTACGAGCTTTTAGGATAGAAAAATCGTAACTTCTGTAGATGAATATCTTATGCCGTGATGGTCACCTTGAAATTGCCTCGTTTTCCGCTTTCAGAAAATATACACATTGCTTGGGGTCCGTTAGAAAAAGTGCCTGGGTGAAGGGTGTCGTAGTGATTTCCGTAGATTTTTGAGTTTTTAACATAAAAAAATTCATAACTTTTATAGATGAACATCTTATATGCCGAGACGGTCACCATTGGAACCGCCTCGTCCTCCGCTTTCAGAAAATATATACTTTGCCTGGGGTCCGTTAGAAAAAGTGCCGGGTGAAGGGTTGGTGAGACTTTTATAATGGAGTGTTCAAGTAGAGGCTTTTTCACCATTGTAAAAAGGCGTCTACTTGAGCACTCCCATTATAAAAGTCTCACCCACCCTTCACCCGGCACTTTTTCTAGCGGACCCGAGGCAAAGTATATATTTTCTGAAAGCGGAGGACGAGGCGGTTCCAATGGTGACCATTACGGCGTACAAGATGTTCATCTACAAAAGCTATGAATTTTTTATGTTAAGAACTCGAAAAACTCCAGAATTCATTAGGACACCCTTCACCCAGGCCCTTTTTTTAAAGGACTCCAGGCAAGGTATGTATTTTCTGAGAGCGAAAAACGAGGCGGTTTTAATGGTGACCATCGCGGCGTACAAGATGTTCATCTACAGAATTTATTAATTTTTTTATGTCAAAAAACTCGAAAATTTTCAAAAATCACTAGGACAACCTTCACCCAAGCACTTTTTTCAAAAGAATCCAGGCAATGTATACAGTTTCTGAAAGCGAAGGACGAGATGGTTCTAACGGTGGCCATCACGCCGTAAAGATGTTCATTTACAAAGTTATGATTTTTTTAATGTTAACAGCTCGAAAATGTACAGAAATCACTACTCATACCCTCACCAAGCACTTTTTTCAACAGACTCCTCCTTTTCTATACATAAACAATACACGTAGAAATATCTCCTTTGCTTAACCTTTTCTCACAGTTGATTTTTTCTCGGCTTTTGGTGAAGGGGATCACCTTGGTCCCGGCTCAGGGGTAAAGAGGGGGTGAGAAAGATCTCACACTATCGCACCTGTGGATCAGGGCCCGGCACAGATGGTTTGGGGTCAAACTGGACTTCGTTTTTGAAGGTGGAAGCAACGGGATATCGTTTTTATAAGGTCCAGGAGGAAGCGCCAAAAAAACGGCGAACATGTCAGGTTTTACGAGTTGAACGTGTTTTTTCGCAAGCGCGCGAATTTCAAATCAAGACTCAAGCAAGCAAATGGCTTGTTTACAGCGCACAAACAACCACATGGCTCCGAATTTGGGCTATGTGTACACAATATTACTCCAAACTATGTTATGTAAAAAGTTTTAAAAGCTTATGTGTTCTAACATCCGTTCCCGAATTTGTTGGTTTCTAGACCAACACCAAACCAACTGGGTTGGTTCGGAGCATGAATATCGGAGAGTTCACATAAGTTTTGGATCTTTTCAATGTGGACGATTAGAGCGGCCAAAAATCTATCATCTAGTAAGAGAGCGGATCAAACTAATGCCTCTCCTCTTTTTTGAGCCAAAAGCAGTGTGATTCTACGTGTTGATAGATATCGCGCTCCAATCAAATGCGGTGTCCTTTGAACTATGTGGCGAAAAATACATCGCCGGATTGTTGAGGCCACAGATTTGGTCGGCCCAGGAGGTTTTCGACATTGTGAGCACTGAAATGGTACCATACCCAACGACAGAGCATTCAAACGACTCAAAATGTTTTCTTTTTACTTAACATGCGCTTTTTCCGTTTTTTTGCTAATTGAACAAGGGTTTCCCTGCTGATTTTACGTCTCTTAGGAAACTCGTAATTTTTCGCGAAGTCATGGGGGACTTCGTTTCCAAAAATGCTTTGAAGCAACGCATGCCGGGCCCTGTCCGTGATAGACGCCGCAATGCAGAAATTTTGTAGGGTTGTAACTAAGCAGGTAAGGGAGGTTCGGAAAAAAAATTGATTTGTAGGGTTTTGGATGTAGTTAAATTCATGAAAAAGTGTTTAGGAAAAAAATTACATGAAGGGAGAAAAATTTATGACTTTGTTTTCCGCGTGGCTCAAAACCTACTAATCACAAAAAAAAGTTTGCCACGCCTCCAGAAAAATAATCTTTTTCATAAGTTTTCTTGAACAAAGTGACACTTTGCTTGTTTTCTTCTTCTTTATATACTTTACTTCAGGAGTTCGGACCCTTTTTCGCACTTCTGCGCCGCTCTTCCCTTCAAGCAGAAGTTGTTACAGAATCTGTCTGGGATGTCTGCTTCGCTTCTTCGATTGCCTCCTCCCCTCGGTTTCGTTTCTCACAAGCGATTGTAAAAATTGCTGTTATGTGCAAGAGGCCTCCTCTTGTACATATTAGCGCTTCATTTAAACGTCTCTTGTCGTACTGTATTACGCCTATTTTTTGATATTCTGCGCTATAAAAATTTCGAAGTGCCGGCACATATTGTATTCGCATCTCCTCTTGTTGTCGTTTGATCCTCCTTGATCCAGATTTTGTGTATCGTTCTTTCCTCATCATCCATTTCAGAATTAGTTGAATCTCATCTGCTCTCGTCATAGGTGCATTCGGTATCGCAGAAACTTTCATGAAGGGAGCTCATTACTGGTACGGCTGCTGCTGGAAAAGTTGTGTTCGTGTGCATTATAACAGTCCTTGGGGTGCGTTTAAAAAAGGAAGCCTGTCTGGCAGATGTGCGTTTATGCCCGCATCCAAATTTGATAATCTAAGCTTTTTTCTAATACCGGTTGCTTTATCGATTGCAGTTGAGTGTCGCTTCTGCTAGCTTTTCCTGTTAGTTAAGCTGTGGTGTTTTTCGCGTCACTTCACTCGCTCTTCTTTTTCAGCATTTTGTTGCGTGAAGAACTGTTATACAGGGTGTCCCAAAAAGATGTGCACACTGTTTGATTGTTAATAACTCTCTTGCTTTCATGTCCTTTGCCGAGCTTGAGGTACCATTCTGTAGAGCGAGGGCAAACTTAGATTTGCAGTATGGAGCAACTTATCAGCAGCTCTTCATTACTGTAGGATTACGGTAGGAATTTCGAGGAGGATTTTAAGCCGTTGAACGCGGTATTTTGCCTCAGAAAGAAAGCCAAACAAGCCAGAAACTCTTAAACTGGGTTAATTAAAGTTGCTGATTCTAGATGTGAAAACTGCACGTCAGTACACCGTTTCATCCATGAGTTATTTCAGATTTGGGATAGCAGCTGCTTTTCCAATGCTCGTCAGAAATGTGAATACGCTATCAAGAAAGCTCGAAAAACCGGCAAAAAGTTATGTAATAAAATCAGCACGCCTGAGAAACTTGCTACACAAATTTTCAAATTTTTTTGAAATTATTTCATCAAAAGGCATATTCCAGTGGCGCCGTATACTGAAAGTTCCTACAGTAACGAAGAGTGATTGGTGATTCGCTCCATACTGTGAATCTAAGTTTATCCTCGCTCTACGGAATGGTACCTCAAGCTCGGCAAAAGACATGAAAGCAAGAGAGTTATTAACGATCAAACAGTGTGCACATCTTTTTGGGACACTCTGTATGTCCGTTGTTCGCCACTTGTTCCGTCTGTGGCACTCTTGTTGGGTATTTCGCACTGAGAAAATGTGTCTGACCGTTGCTTCAGAAGGTGAGGGAGTATTTCTCTGTTGATGTGACCTTCGTGTTCCGAGTAGTTTCGTGTGCTTCAGCCTAAAGTTTTTATATTTGTGGTTCTCCATTTCCATCACCTCTTGAACAAAGGAAGTAATGATGGTTGTCCATTTCCATCACCTCTTGCACAAAGGAAGTGATGATGTTTCTGACTCAAGCATGCTATGCATCCTTTCATAAAATGCCCTTCGCGCAGTTCAGACATCTATTAGCCTTTGGAAAAACCTGCAGTTTTGAGCTACCGAGCTGAGCATTCATACATGGCCGTTAGTGAGTTGTATCGTTACAGAATAAACATGATAAGGGATGTTTGCATTAAGAGTCCTCATTCTACCCCTCCCCCCTTTAAGTTCCTGGGAGCGTTTATTTGCAAGCTGCTTCCGCCAATTAGTCAAGCAGATCGCTGTAAAGACTTACTAATCTTCTGCAGCCAAGATCCGTGTGGCCGATTGCACCCTTATAAGGTTCAACCATTCCAGTTGGCATCACACGAGCGGTACACGTTGTCGTCGTTTATTTCCAACTTGTTTGTTGGTTTATTTATTATTTTTCTATTTTTCGTTTTCATTTCTGAGTTCAGCTCAGTTTGGTTCGTCAATCACATGTCGTAACTTCACAAAAATTTCATAGATTTACCGGTCAGGTGTGCAAAACAAACTTAACAGCTAATGGTCACAAAGCGGTCAATGAGTGAAATTGGGAAAATCAACACGCAAAAAATATCTCTTAATCAAAACGGAGTGTCTGGACGAGTTTCAATCCACTTCTTCAGTTTCGGATTTGATCGCACAAGTTCCATGTGAGCCTTCACCTAAAAAACAGCCAAAAAGTTAGCAAGCTGGATACACTTGGCTAAATTATTTTCTTATTTCTGAATAAAAACCGGATGAATCTCTCTACGCTTAATCACATCTAGAGCTTAGGACACTATCCTACCTCTGGAAATCCGTCCAAAAACTCTGGGATCCTTGCGCTCATGTCTGCCATATGTTCCGAAATTAGCAGATCCACCCAAGTCAGATGGTCGCCGACAAGGTAGCCTGGGAAGAGCGAAAATGTGTTATAAGTGAAACTGAAAACTTCGTAAGCTTTATGACAATGATTTGGACGTTTTAGAGTTATAGCAGGGTGCAGTCAAACATCAAAAAAGTTATTTCTTCACTATACACAACGCTGTCAACGATTTATTTGAGATGTGGTACTTGCAAGAGAATAAAATAGGATTTTTTACGGAAATGCATGGTCTTGAATTCTCGCACCAATATTACACTACAGTTACACTACCGTAAGACGTCGGGAATTAAAACGAAAGTTACGCACCAGACTTCGTCTTGTTGTTCTTGAGGAATTTGGTCAGGAAGCCAAGGAACTTGTCACGCCCAGGCATCATAACTTCCTTCTTTAATTTCTCCTGAAAAAATTAGATGAAAAAATTCTGCAGTATTCCTCCTCCTAGGCAACGTACAAGATCTCCAGCCTGCATGAATCCGAGTGCGGTATAGATGTACGGTTTGACTTCAACGCGATAGTCAGTGTACTGATCACCCAGTGAGTCCACTAACGCTTCTTCGAAAGCGTTGCTACCGGATAGACCTGATGGTACATCATCACAAACCTTAGGGTAGAATAATTCAACATTTTTTCGCCTTACGGTGCCGCTATTAGTTGACCTCATTGTATAAGATTAGGAGGAGAACAACTACAGGCTAAACGCTGTTCCCGGACGAAGGTGCGTGGCTTACGGTAGCGAAGCGAATGCGAGCCTTGGGGTAAAGGACCTGCTATTGGTGGTGTGCATATGCGCACTGCAGTAACCCATAACCGCACGCACGCCGCAAACAAGCGCTTGCCTCTCACCCATTCGTCCAAGACTAGCCTTTAACTTCATGGAAGTGGTTTTCAAGCCATTAATGCTTCACTCACTCACCCCACTGCCTGGCGAGGAAGCGACAGATTGCTTGGGACTGTGCGAGCTGCTTACCGTCCACTTCCAGTACGGGAACTTGTCCAAATGGCAGATCTGAAGTCAATCCTTTCATCAATTCTCGAATCACTTACAGTCGAGTCATTTTATAAAAACATATTTTTCATCGCATACACTGTCCATCTTGCTTCCTAACCTAAATATCTAGAAGCAAACTTCCCTTTAGGTAAGCGTTTTCGATGTTTTTTATATGTTTTCTTTTCCTTCTAGGTATCAACCACCACAAAGTGATGTAAGCGACACCCTTCATCTCCTGCGTTTTTGTGATTACAAACCCAGGAAGGGGACGCCAAAAATGGACATTGTGTGCAATACACACGATCGTATGAGTTGACTTGACTGCAGTAGGTTTACAGACGAAGTCGAAGGATAATCAGATGTAAGAGCAAGTAATGCTAGTTAATTCCTCAGTATTAACTTGGTCCCGAATTTGATGCGCACGGTATACATAAAGTATAAGGAGTAGCGCTTTTGAATATGCAATTATAACAATAGCTGATTAGCGCGATTATCTTATTATCCAGATTCTAGATTCTCTAGTTTCACAAAGAATACACATTGTGATCATTGCCCTGATATCAACATCTATATAATATTTGGATAGACTTTTTTATGACCGGCCTAAAATGGTACAAAAAATCAGGAAATTTGGATGAAACTTTGCACACATAACTTCGGGGTGATAGGGTGTCACTAAGCTTTCTCACCAAAAATCATCCAGTGGCGCTTTCGATTTATCGATTTTTTGCGTTTTTCGCTTAGCAATTTCGTTATGACCGGCCTAAAATGTTAAAAAAACTTCATTGAATTCAAAGAAAACTTTGCACACATGAACTTCGGTGGAGCGGGTGTCACTAAGCTTTCACACCAGATAGGCATTATAGATTTATCAATTTTGTGTTTTAATCTCTGTTGAACTGAAAACTGGCAGGAAGGGATAGCTAAGCATGGTTAATTTAAATAAATTATCTACAACTTTGACCACTAGACTTTTTCCTTTTTTGATTTTTGTATGCTCCATTCTGGAGGCTAGCTGATATTCAATAATGAATTGAACTTTCGCAACGGGTTTCGTCGACAGCGCTCATCAACAAAATCAAAATGGTTTATCCACGAGATCAAATATGACCACCAAATCAAAACACCCTATCCTGACTACTGTTCATTCATACCATGTCTTCATCGGTCATACCCCCTTCGACTACTTTTACTTCCGAGACCATGGCGCCGACATTGACTCCCTACAGCAATGGACCGTCCACCTCCACACCTCAGTCGCAGATGCATATCGCCTAGAGAGCGAGAGCCCGTACTGCCGCAAGGCGCACTACTGAAGCCATGCGTAGCCGCCTTTGTCGTAGCCGAGAAACATCAGAGCCACGAGAACGGTGTTTTGTCTCAGTGAACGTCATCTTCGTCGACGGCAACAGGAACCACAGCTTAACGGACGCTTTCAGGAGACACTGGATCATCCAGGCATGATGCGAGCCCAAAACGGGTTGGCCAACGACGATACGAGGCAATCGACGAGAACACAGCACAAACAATCTTTACGGTTGACTCGCGTCAACAAGTAATGTTTTAACCGGTACCTACCTCCACTCCCATGTCACAGATGCACATTGAAAGAGAACTCGAGCACGTGGCGCAAGGCGGAGCTCCGCAGCTGCACATATCCGCCTTCACCATAGCCAGGAAGCACCAGAGGCTCAAGAAGAAATTGCCCGATGCATGTAAGTTACCTTCATTGTCGCCAGCACGACTACTTTTCAAAAAATGCATTTAGGAGACGAATGCGGCTACACGTCAAAAACGATCCGAGGAGACCATTTCCACACCACAATCGCAGATGCACATCGCACAGAGAACCCGATCCCGTATTGCTGCAAGACGCACTTCTGAGCCCTTGCGCAGCCGCCTTCGCCGTAGCTATGAGACACTGGCTGCACGAGATCGACGTCTTGCCTCTATGCGTGAACGTATCATAAACAACACTTATCTGCTAATGTGCCTTCCGTCACTGAGCACTACCTTGACAAGTTGGTTGTTATTTGCCTCCATTGCAGCGCCGCATTTTTTCGTGCTGAAGTTCCTAATGGCTGTGATAAGATTAATGTGTGCTGCAACTTTGGAAACGTCATCATCGAAGACAAGTTCGCCAATTTCCCTACAGATTGCAACACCTCTTCATTGGCAACGACGGTCCCTCCCGGAATCTACGCCGCAAAGGACGCCAATTCAATTCTGCGCTGGCGATGGCATCAATGGGTGCCAAAGTCGACTTGCCTTCCGGTCAGGGTCCCTGGGTCTTCAAAATCCACGGCCTAATCTACTACTACGCTAATCCTCTTCATCCTGCCTCTGGGGCGCCGCGATCTACGGCCAGCTGTACATTCTGGACACGGCACAAGCAGCCGCGTAGCGACTCGGTCCCGACCCTGTGAACTCAGAATGTGATCCCGACGTGATGCGATCGTTAAGTAACTGATACACCATGTTGATCCCTTCGCTTGATCCTACAAGACAAGGGACGAGGTGTTTAGGGAAGAAGAACCTGCCGCATCAAGGGAGAACCGCAGTGCTGAGCCAGTTCGTATGGTTTTCGAGATGGACCGTTCCCTTGACCGTCGTCGCTATAAACCCCTACATGCAACGAGGTGGCCGTCGTTTACGTAGGCGAAGACGGTGGCGTTCCCGCCCATCGCGAATTTGCCGTACATCCATATGGCAACGCAGTTCAGAAGAACTCAGACATTTCCAATCTTGCCGCCCCTCTGCTACCTGTATTTTTTCCGAGGGAAAATTTTGGTTGGAGCCGGATTTGAAGAAGAGGGATTACGCCCGTCGCCGCTCCCGCATATCTCAACGAAAATACTATTCCTGCTTGCTTCAAGTCAGGTTTGACAAATTCAATCCGATTCATCACCGCGGCCCACTTACGCAGCAGTTCATTGTCGACGCTTCGGTTAAGACGGAGCAGAACCACTTCAACTACATCCGCACTCATTAAGCCGATCTTCGACCGGACGTACTAGTCGCTACTCGACTTCATCTCCACTGACGACGGTAGCAATGAACCACCGGGCAAGCGAATCATCCTGCCAGCCACTGTCAAAGAAGGTCCGTGCTCTATGTTACAAGACTACCAAGACGCCATGACCGTTGTCGCAAAATATGGCAAGCCGGACTTTTTCATAAGGTTTACATGTGACCCCAAATGGCGCGAAATTGAATAGAGCCTTCAGCCAGGACAAACTGCCACCCACCGTCCCGACATGATTGCGAGAGTTTACAGTGCAAGTTCGACGCCCTTATGGAGCTACTTCTCGCACAACACGTTCTCGGCCGCTCGTAGGTTACGTATCAGTTTTCGAGTGGCAGAAGCGAGAGTTGCCACACACGCACTCCCTTCTCATCTTGGACAACGATTCGAAACCTCGCACAGCAGCCGACGTCGATCGTCGACCGATCGAGTCGATCGCCTCATTAGCGCTACCATTCCGGATCCCGCTGAGGATCCAGTTCTGCGCGGAATCGTTAGACAGTGATGATGCACCGACCTTGCGGAATCCATAACCCGGAATCACCGTGTATGCGTGATGGCAAGTGCATTAAAAAGTTTCCTAAGGAGTTCTGCGATACGACCGACTTACAAGTGAACGGTCATCCCAAGTTTAGGAGGCCCAACGATGGCCACTACGTCATGTTCAACGATGTCAAGCTGAACAACCCGGCACTTGATTTTATATATAACGCGTTCCTCTCAAAGACATTCAACGCGCACATCAACGTGGAGATCTGCTCAATGGTGGAGGCCGTTAAGTACCTGTACAAATATTAGGGTGATCACTAAAAAAATGGGACAGCTTGATTTTTGTCAAATTTTGAGATTTTTTGTTTCGATCAACAACAAGCACGCTGCAACTTAAGCGTCGCTTATATAAGCGACCTTCGCCTATTATTCTGGCAAAACGTCAACGCTCCTCTCCCACTACCCTACGCGTGGCGCCCTGAAGAACTCGAACAGGGTTTTTTGAACCTCGCTCATTCTTGCGCTGCCATACCGCAAAGTTATAGAGCATTTGATATATCTTTCGAAAGAGCTGTTCATGCTCTTTCGAACAGTATATGAAACATACAGAATTTCTTTCTATTTCTGGGTAAAAAAGCGAAGTACCTGGAAAATCGCGATTTTTGGCGCAACAAACGCCAGCAAATCAAGTCAATTTTCCGAAGATAGATAAAGGAGGTAAACTGCATATGGATGGATAGAGCGTAAAAAGCTCTTTCACACGGTACCTATAGAACATGCGTTCACCTGCAAAGCATTGAATAGCATATCTTTGTTCTCAAAGCTGCTGATGACCATATCTCCTATTTGAAAGTTTACACCAGCAACCCATCGTGGGTCTGGTGACTGTACCTTCACGCATTGCAGCAGTAGTAATTTCAATGGTTTCGCATGTTTCACTGCGCAGATACTGATCGAAGTTTATACCCGGCTCCGCCCGGCCCTGTCATTATTATATTCGTAATCAGCATGCTCGATTACCCCCCTGTGCCAACTCCCAGCCCCGTAGCTCAAATTTTGCAAAAAATCGATAAAATCGATATCGATCGATAACGAAAAGTAGCCTATGACACGCTCCCTGCCCCGAAGTATATGTGTGCCAAGTTTGGTCCAAATCGGTTCAGAAATAAAAATTTCTATTCCGCACATACGTACAGACAGACAGACATACATACAGACAGACATTCAGCTTTATATATAAGACAAAGTGACTAACTTTGCATTTCAGCCACTATAAAAATTACTAGTTATGTAAATGACCTTATATAGGTATTTTCTGAAAAAGAATAATCTATTCTAATATTTATCAAAATTGGGAAGTTTAAAGATTTTTCTTTTTTGAGAAATCTACATTTTCTCTAGGTGTCCCCTTTTAGTGATTACCATGTTTACAAGAAACACGATGCCGCTTCAATCCGCCTCAGCAGGCCAATCGCTGCAGAAAAGGGATGGCCATGTCATCAAG